ATGTCCTGAATCCCTTCTCTAACTACCACTAATGAAATACCTCCAAGATATCATCAGACAGTTCGTACTAGAAGGATTTTCACCGAAATTAATCAGTCGGAAATTCCAAATAATTCTAAAAATGCATTGGTTGATTCTTAGATATATATAGGCATTAATATACACCTGCCTTCTCTACAGATAAATAAGACAAACATAGTTTCATGCATCTTTCGAAGACAACAGTGCCAGAAAATGCGCATTCAACGTTCGCATCATCATAATAATCACCAATATTGGTAATATCTTTATTCTGAACATTTTATATACAGTGCAGAACTTTCAGCTTGCTTCTATCTACTCCACATACTGAGTCTCTAATTTGAAACAGTTATCTACAGTATGTCATTCAACGGAATTTATCTTCTGTCTGAAACACGCGGTACCTCGGACGAATTTGTCCTTTCAAAACAGACTAAGTGGTATGTTGAAAGACATTCAAAAATGCGCGGGAATATAGATTATTCTTCAAGGAGATAAACAGGTGGTTAAAAAAATTTTAGTTGAGTAAATTTGACTTATTGTGCTCCTTGAAAAATAAGGTAGCCCAAAGATTTAACCAGGCCACCATATCATATGGCCTGGGAGAAACTACATCTATAATGGTCATGTGAAGGTCAACAGCATTCACCATGGAAATGAAAATAAGATCCGGATTTTCAACTCCAATAAGAAGTCAGTGCTACTATATGGATCACAGACTTGGCCGGCGCGTCACGAAGAGCACCTCAAACAAACTATAGACCTTCATCAACAGCCGCCTTCGCCCAATACTCAAGATCAGACGGCCGGCCAGAAAAGATCAGCAACAGGGATCTCTGAGAGCGAACCAACCAGGAACCGATTGTGGAACAAATAAGCAGGAAGAAATGGAGATGGATTGGCTGGCCATACTCTGAGGAAACCATCAAGTGACATCATTAGACAAGCCATTGCTCGAGTGGAACCCTAAAGGAAAGCGGCGAGTTGGTCGTTAGTGCGAGGGTGACATGGAGGAGGTCATGTAAAGAGGAGATGAAAGTATGTGGAGCCAGGTGAAAACTCTAGCAGAGAACCAAACGCAATGGAGACGTTTGACTGAAGCCCTATGTTTCTCTAGGAATTAAAGGATATAATAATAATATTTCAATTTATTAAGTTATTATTAGCATTCTTATTAATACTACTACTACTACATTTTAGGGGATGATTTCCAGGGTCTTGATTGACTTTAAGTTAGGTCACAGAAAGAACAACCGAAAACCAGGGTATGTCAGACAGCTGTTTTCTTCTAGTTTGTTTTTGTCACTGGAGCTATAAAACTGAAGTTAATTCATGTGACATGTAATCATTGAAATTCCTGTAAAACTAACACAGGAAAATTAATCTAATGCTCACTGGGAGCTGATCACACGATAAAATACCTGAGTCCATCAAGTTGGAAGTGAAGAAAGAAACTTGCTACTGACATTGGCTAATGGTTGCGCCACAATATATCGCTAATTGCGGAAAGTAGAATTCCTAGACTGGACACTGCATTATTTCCTACTGTCTAAGCGATCAAGGTGCTCACTTCATAACTTGAAAGTCTTGGATTCAATCCTTGGCAGTTTGTACTGCTGAAGACTCCCAGACCGTGACAAAATAGCGCTTAAGTATTCCCTCATTCTGAGAGGTTCTCTAAGTGATACCAGTTAGTATTCAAAGTTATTATTACCAGTACTGTTTCCAATGGCATTATTATTATTGTTTATATTATTATTATATCCTTTAATTCCTAGAGAAACATAGGGCTTCAGTCAAACGTCTCCATTGCGTTTGGTTCTCTGCTAGAGTTTCACCTGGCTCCACATACTTTCATCTCCTCTTTACATGACCTCCTCCATGTCACCCTCGCACTAACGACCAACTCGCCGCTTTCCTTTAGGGTTCCACTCGAGCAATGGCTTGTCTAATGATGTCACTTGATGGTTTCCTCAGAGTATGGCCAGCCAATCCATCTCCATTTCTTCCTGCTTATTTGTTCCACAATCGGTTCCTGGTTGGTTCGCTCTCAGAGATCCCTGTTGCTGATCTTTTCTGGCCGGCCGTCTGATCTTGAGTATTGGGCGAAGGCGGCTGTTGATGAAGGTCTATAGTTTGTTTGAGGTGCTCTTCGTGACGCGCCGGCCAAGTCTGTGATCCATATAGTAGCACTGACTTCTTATTGGAGTTGAAAATCCGGATCTTATTTTCATTTCCATGGTGAGTGCTGTTGATTTCCACACAGACTTAAGAGTAATGAAAGCGTGTCTTACTTTTCCAATTCTGGCTTTGATATTCTTGTCAGTTCCGTCCGCCTGTAGTTAAAACGATTCTTCTTAGTTATGTGGGTAGGGAAACGAGGTTGTTTCTTTCATATTCCTCCCATTTATGCTGATTGTTGTCTGTTGTTGTTGCTTTTGGTGTTGGCCAGGAATCTTCGTCACCTCTGTTTTATCCGTATTCACTTGAAGTCCTATCTTTGATACTCGTTCTTTGGCGAGCTTGTTGCTTTTCATTTGCATATCTTTTAGTTTGTGGGTATCAGGCATATATCATCGGTGAAGTCCAGATCCTCCAAGTATTTTGTGTGAGTCCATTGAAATATAATGAAGTTATATAGCGTTTGTAATATACAGAGAAATCTCGAAAAGTCTAATTCCCTCCACCACCAGCCCACCCCCTCAAAAACAAAATGATATTCAAAGTGGATATTTGACAATGTTGATTTTGTTTATTGACATTGTGAGACTAGTGTAGGATGAGAGATGGGGTTAGCGATTTCACTAACCCACTTCATCAGACTTCTACACGACACATGAACCTATTCTAGATTGCCCAAAAATATTCATTCGACTGTCAATTTATATTTTTTTTAAAATTTTATTCAGGGCAAGGGAGGGATTGAGTGATTTTCAAGCCAGTGCACGTTTTTGTTTTTTGCTTCGTTTTGTCATTCATATCACCTAGCAATGATAGGTTTAATTGTTTTGTAATTTGAACAGTCTGTCAGTTCTATAAGTCATATTATGTTTGTCTAAAATGTCAGAAAAGTTTTAGACTGGAATTAAACTAGTTTTCATACTGTTAGTATTATTATTATTTTAGAATTTAATTTCTAAAAAGTTGAATTGATGTTTTAATACTTTTTGTGATATATATTTTCTGCTTAGAATTTTATATGTATTATCGCAGTAATTGACAGTAAAATGTGTGCTTAGAAAGCAGCATTTACGTCCTGGTTGGTTCTGTTTTGTTAATCATTAAGAATGACGTGAAAAAGGCATCTTGCAGAACAGTGTTGCTTCCAGCTTATGTACTGTCTTGTCATTAAGAAGTAAGCAACGCATCTGTGAACATTGTCTAGTATGGTTAGCAAAACGGACAATACAAGACAATACTAGCTCAATTCTCGAGCTTTTGGTGAACTCAAGCCGCACAGCTCCACCGGAGTCGTCTTTCAAGATCATCTACAAGGTGTGAGGTCAAGTGGTACAAAACCGTCAGATTTCGGCTTTTGTGTATGGTGGAGGCGCTGGCGATTCTTCAATACAACCCTGAACTTAGGTATATTGTATTAATGGCCGGGAAAAGGTGAGTATATGTGACAATGCATACAAACGCCTCGTGCTGCCAGTATTTTATGGTTACCCTATGTGGCATTGGTGCCTGCATTAAACTAATTTATCTGTAGAACGATAATGAGCTGAGCTAAGGATCAATGTCTACAGCTAACAAATGTTCATTGGATGTGTGAAGGATAAACTAATGTCACTTTGGGCGACTTCAGTGTGTGTTTATAACTTCACCTGCTCCTGTGGAGTTAGTTATATTCGCCTCACAAAGCATACATTTTCCAAACGTATCTTTGAACATTATCCGGCATGGCTAGCGAAACGGACAATGCAAGACAATTACGAGCTCAGTTCTCGAGCACTTGGTGAACTCAAGCCATGTACCTCCATCAGAGTCACCCCTCAAGACTATCTACAAGGTGTGAGGCCAAATGGTGTTCAAAGGGCATCAGGTTTCGGCTTTTGTGTATACCGGGGAGGTGTTGGCAATTCGTCAATACAACCCTGAACTCTGTATACGGAAAATGTTTGTCCAGTCTCTTATTCTACCATGGTCTTAACATCTTCACTAGTCGTCCCCTGTCAAAAATTTCATTTTTAATTCCTACTTTTACTTTTAGTTTGCTCTTACTTTGATAATTAATTCTCCATTATCACTGTCATATGTTACTTTTGTACATTTTCTCACCCTCTTCACACTTTTTGAATGGGCACTCAACCACCCTATTTGTTCACCCTCAATAACAACTTTGACCTTACCGAATTTCTGAATTTGTGCCGTTGAGTGCCACGTAATTTACAACTTTTATTTTTTACTTCTAAAGCCACTTCCGAGTAATTATATCAGTTATCTCACCCCTTGTTACTTAGTAATAGACTATTATACATTTTTGATAAATATAAATATGACTGTACAGCCTGTGAAGATGATTTCGTCGATAAATAAAATTTTCTTCACTGAGTTTGTCTTTTATTTTCTACAGAATTCCATCTATCGAGTTTGCAATCAGGTCATCAGGCTAGGCGATTCACCATCGCGACGATGTTATGTGATTGGAGGCCATTGGGAGAAAGCCTTGAATATGGGTTTCGTGCAAACTGGCACTCTTCAACTGCGCATATTTTCCCGTTTATTTCATACCAGTAGTTCCATAAAATCTACAGTTGTCGACACGGAACAATAATACTAATTAGAACGACAATAATGCGAACAGGTTCCAAAGTCGGCCAGTAGAGTGGTTGACAATAGTGCAGGGTTATTTGTCCATCTAACTTATCTGCTCTAAAGAGCTGATTTATTCAGCCAGTGGGATCTATCAGATGAAGTTTTAGAAAAAAGTTATCCAATAAAAATGATCATATGTATCTCAATTTATGCATACTTACCTCTAACGCTGGATGGAAATCGACTATGACATGATTTTTCACCTGTTGTAGTCATTGTTTGCAATTGTGGTGTCACAACAGACGAAGCTGCGTTTATCTTCTTATCATGATACAATCCCCCAGAATCATTAGAACTTACTGATCCCATTACTGAGGGTTCCATTCTCGTTCCCATTCTTGGCACTCTAGTTGATATGTTATTGTTGTTAATAGTGTCTTTTGTATGAAGTAGGGGTAATCCATTAGGGATTGCTTCATTTGACTTACTGGTTAAGGGCTTTGTGTTCTGTGAATTACTTCTGTTTGGAGAATAATAAGTTTCGCTTTGTTGACTGGATATTGTCATTGGTATGGATGATGCATCTGTTGTAATAGATGTCGTCATTGTTGTCGGTGTTATCGAGGTTATCATTTGTGAATGTGATTGATTTTGACTGGAAATATGTTTATCATATTCACAGGAATTTAATTCATTTGGATACTGATGCATTAGAAATGGATGTTGAACATAATTCTCTATACTCTTATACTGCATTTTAACTTGTACTAACTGTCTACAATGCACTGCTAATGATTGCATTAAACGTCCAAGTTGAACTAATTCTTGATCGATGGGATCAACTGGATCATAGTCAGCGAACACGTCTGTTGGAATTGTTGGCGCTGGTGCATCGGATATTAGTGTTGTCTGTTGTGCTAGTGAACTGTCGGCTAGTCTATCCATCTTCAGTTTGTCATAGTCGGTTAATTTAATCCGGGATTTTGTCACCTGTGTTAGCCCAGTTACATAATCAACTTGTTGTTGTTGGTTGTCGTTGTCGATTTCCTATGATTCAATTAAGGATTCGGAAAAAAGCAAAAAAAAGATAGAAATAACTTGGGATCATGGCAGATATGTCACTGATAGGCTTTGAATGTTAAACAGTGGTAGTATCCCTAAAGTTTAGAGTACTGGTTACAATTATTGTTCCCTAGGGTTCTTAGTGGAACATAGAGATTCAGTAACACATTTCCACTCTGTTGTACTTTCTTCTGCCCTCTTCAGCTGGGTCCACGACTGCCTGTAATCTCTTATCCCCTCCTCGCACGATCTCCTCCATGTAAGCCTTACACCGAAGACCCACTCGTCACTTCTCATTGGGGTTCCACTCGAGAGATGGCCTAGTGCGTAATATCCACCCACAGCCTTCTCAATGTGCACTCGATCTATCTTCTTTTTCTCCTACATATTTGTTGAGCAGTTGGCTCGTGATTGGTTTGTTCATCGATAAAGTTTCTTGTTGCTAATTCTTTCTGGCCGGCTGGCCATTTGATCTTTAGTATGGAGTCAGTGAAGGTGGCGGCCATTGATAGAAGTCTGTCAGAGTACTGCTTACACACATATTTTAGCCCAGCTTATCGGTGATGAGGTGTCACCAACGGCAACGAAGGCTCTAGTGGAGTTGGAGGCGATCTCGCCCAGGATAATGACCACCAGATTAAACTCCAAAGGAAGGAAAGTGTCAGTTATACAATGCTATGAATGCACAAACAACGCAGACCTCAGAAAGAAAGAAGAATTCTATAGACAACTAAAGGCAACAATGGACAATACTCCAGTTGGTGACATTAAAATGCCAAACTGGGACCAGACAACACAGGAAGGGAACTCATCATAGGTAGAGAAGCTCTCTGAGAAATGAATGAAAATGGAGAACTCTTCGCCGACTTCTGCGCCTTCAACGAACTAGTGATTGGTGGCAGCGTATACAAGCACAAAGATATCCACAAGACTACATGGGTGTCACAAGATGGGAGAACCAAAAACCAAAGTGACTTCATCTCAATGCTGCTCAAGGAAGTGGAGGCGCAGCCTACTGGACACAAAAGTACGAAGAGGAGCAGACGTTGGCTCAGACCACTATCTCGTACAAGGGACAATCCAAATCAAATTAAAAGCTTTCAGAGAAACAGGAGTTGCAGATAGACCACAAGGCAAGTTCAACACTCAAAAACTGGAGGACCAGGCTACAAAGGACATCTTCATTGCAAACATAAGGGACAAATCCGAGATACAAATCAACGCCAGCGAAGAGGTCGGCGTCGAAAAGCACTGGACAACTTGAAAACGATGTGGAGCCAAACCTGCATGGAAGTTCTAGGCAGAATGAAGAAGCAAGATAAACAGTGGCTCACTACAGACACTTGGAAACTATTAGAAGAGAGAAGGGTAGTGAAACAAAAGATTATCCAGTGCACCGACGAGCAACAAAAACAGGAGTTGAATGCAAGCTACAATACACTGAACAAAAGAGTGAAGAAGAGTGCCAGGGAAGACAAAAGAAAATATTATGAAGCTTGGCAAGTGAAGCAGAACAAGCTGCAGGCAAAGGAGACCTCGCAACACTGTACCAAACAACTAGGTACCTTTAGGAATTAAAGGAAATAATAATAAATAATGTAATAATATAGGTGATGAAAAGACATTGAGCAATAATAGGGCAAAGCTTTTCGAACCGAATTCTCATTTCTCAGTTAACACAGTTCCAGGAGGTGAAATTTCAGTAAAGTTTCCTTAAGAAACCAAAGTCAGCCAGATCACAAAGTGTGATCTTCTCGGTACCATAGATGGTATTAAAAAAACAGATACATTAGTATTTAATATATATACTACTTATTGATTGGAGTGAGTACTTGTGTACTACACATAACAACCAGTAGTTCTGACTAGTTAGAATGAAGTGATTAAACACTGTAGAGCCATTCCACTCATTTTGGGTTGAGCTCATCAGCCCAGGGAACCCAATCAGTCCAAATCACTCAATATCTGGCTAGCCACTTTGGATAAATTGGTGATTTACTAAAACAAGTTCGCGATTTCGCGAATTAATTCTCAATTTATACGATTGCAGGTGGTTAGTTCACCACAGCCTCGTTTAGAAACTGACATTATCCGGATCATAATATATGATCTGACTGGTCTCAAAAATGATGATCAAGAAAGGAATCGTGAATACTTGGAACTATATACTGCTGGTTGGTTGAGATTAGTACTATATACTTTCAAAAAGTTTTTCGAAGATGGTTGGTAGAAAGTGATCTTCAAGTAGGTGGTTTGTAGGGATTTGGTTGATTGTTTGCAGGATTTCATCATGAGCTGACATTGGTTAGAGAACCATTGGACAAACTGGGAGTACTGGACAGCTGTTTCCTCAGCCCAGTTTGGGACTCTTCAGCAGTACGCACCCACCATAGGGGTTCGAGCTCAAGACATTCTGATGACAAGGCGAGCTCGTAGACCATTAAGCCATTGAGACCCGATCCAATGGCCTATGAATTCTAACTTCTGCCAATTCATGATATAGCGCGACCGCTAGCCAATGTCTTCGGCGGGTGTTTGTCCTCATATGTGACCTGCTGCATCCTACTGGTCACGACTTCTCACTAGAACCCCAGGTAACTACCCACCTGAATAGGGCCAGTCGCCAGTGAGCATCTCTAGAGAACTTATCTGAGGGAAAAAGTCTTCATCATGGACACCATTATCCAATTTAATCTTATCACCTAAAAATTAAATTCCTAAGGAGGTTATACAAAGCACCAGGTGATAAATTGACTTGATGTATCTAGTTACACTCATATTTTTTTAAGAAATAGGAAATACTGAGGAGAAAAATGTTCTACTAACCTAAATTCTGTACGTATGAATAGGAAAACAAAGTTGAGGAAAAAATCAGACATAGGAAAACTTTTCACTTTTGCCTTCATTTTAAGACGTCATTTTATTCATGAGAAAGTCAACATTACTATCATGCGTTGTTTTGAAATACTTTCGAAATGTCATGATATGTAAGCTATCCTTTAACGATTATGAGTCATGCAGTTGTACAAAGACAACATTACTATTAAATAATAATATTAATAATGATTAATATTCTATGAGATCGGTTTATTTAGCCTTCTAGCCAACGTGACAGATAATTACAAGACAGTAAACTTGGTTAAAGTTTAACAAATGTCGATCCGATGTCTTATATATCTATATACACGCGAAATGTATTCTAATGAAGTTACGTCACATTACAATCTGCTATTGTTTAGATTTAGACACTAAAATTCTATTGGTTGGGAGCGTCGACATTATAAAATAGAAAAAATTGGTTTTGTATTATTATTATTGCTTCCATTAGTTCCCTAGAGGAACATAAAGCTTCAGCCGCACGCCTCCACTGCGTCCGGTTCTCTGCCAACGTCTTCACCTGGCTCCACGTCTGCCCACATGCTTTCATCTCCTCTTCACATAATCTCCTCCATGTCACCTTCGCACTGACGACCAACTGACCGCTTCCCGTTAGGGTTCCACTCGGGCGATGGCCTAGCATGTGATGTCGTTGGTTGGTTTTCTCAGAGTATGGCCAATTCACCTCCGTGTCTTACTGCATATCTGTTGCACAGTTAGTTCGTGGTTGGTTCGCTCCAAAGGATCCCTGTTGCCGATCTTCACTGGCCGGTCAAGTGATCTTGAGTAGAAGTGAGCAACAACAGCTGTTGATGAAGGTCTGAAGTTTGTTCAAAGTGCCCTTCATGACTCGCCAAGTCTCTGATCCATCCGTATAGTAGCAGTGACGTCACATTGGAGTTGAAAATCCGGGTAATGTTTTCATTTTCATGCTGAGTGCTGTTGATCTCCACACAGACTTGAGAGTAATGAAAGCTTGTCTTGCTCTCCCTATCCTCACTTTGATATCTTCAACAGTTCCATTTGCCTGTAGTTGAAACGGTGTTTCCCAGGTCGGTAGGTGAAGGAGGTTGCTTCTTTCAGGTTCCTCCCATTTGTGCTGATTGTTGTCTGTTGGCCAGGAATCTTCATCACCACATATGCTTTCTCTATGTTCACCTGAAGGCTTATCTTCTCTGAATGTTTTTTAGCCAACTTGTTGCTTTTCACTTGCATATCTTCCAGTTTGTGGTAAATCAGACATATATCATCAGCGAAGTCCAGATCCTGCAAGTGTTTTGCAAAATTGGATCTATTTTGTGCCTGTTTCCTTGCTGCCCTCAGTCTGTCACATTATCCAGTCTACCGTAATCAGGAAAATCATTGGAGATGGTGGGCAGCCAGTCTTGTCTTACTCCTGTCTTCACTTCGAAGGATTCCGTGAGTTTTCCATTGTGGATTACTTGGCATGCACCATTATCGTACCACTGTTAGATGAGATATCTAATTTTTTGGCAGTATCGCGTGATAGCTAAGTAGTTTCCAAATCACCTGTCGATCGACGCTGTCGATAGCAAATCAGAGTGAAATCTTCCCTCAGTCTCTTTAGGAAATGAAAATTACTCAGATCAAAAAGCTTGATACCATAAATAGGAATCAAGAAAGCAAGCATGAAAGCATGACACTGCATACTACTGATTAAATGGTAAAAGAAGTTGAACACTACTCACACTAACCAGCAGTGCTTTCTGGCCAGTCATATCGAAGCGATCTAAACATCCGGGAGGCAGATCACATGATGTGATCTAAATCATTTCAGTTTCCTTTGGAAACCGAAATGAAATTTCAAGTTGAATTGTGTAAATTGCGAGTTGCGAATATATTTACGATTTTCATGAGTTTGATTTGACTCATTATCAGTTCATCCAAGTAGCTAGTTGGTGGTTTGAACTGATTTGGTTCTATGAGCTGATTCAAAGACAGAAACTCTACTGATAGCCTTGGCCATGAATGAGTGGAACGGCTCTCCAGTGTTGCGACTGGCCAGGAAGCACTACTACTTGATTTCAGAGGTACCTGACTACTTATTTCAGTGTGTCAGTAGTAGGTATCGTCAGCTACTGTCTAAACTGCAGGAATATCATGCATAGAGTTTTAAAGGCCTTAAGCTATTCAATCAGCTTTAAAGATGATTATAGAACACTAAGATGACGAGTCATCTTTCTGAGGCAGTGTATCTACAAGCAGTATAGAAATTTTATGAACAGAAATATATAATGGGTAGAATTTTCAGCATGGTTCTGATTTGACAAAATTTATGTAAACTTATAGTAAAGAAGAGTAAATTATGGTATAATTTTTTTTATAGACAAACCTGTTCTGAACTTTCTTCTGTACGTGCACTTTCATCAGTTGTTCTACCCATACCAGAATCTTGATCAGGACGTTTGTATGCCTTGAAATGTGTGTGAGAGAGAAAAATGGGGTTAAATAGATTGACTGTTTTGATCTTTGAGGAATAACGTGGATGATTACATGGATATATAAAACACAGACAAATGATTTAACTGAATTGAACAAGACTTGATGATATAGTTTCATTTGCTCAAGATACTGAAGGGCAAATAGTCTCTCCAAGTCTGCTAGAAGAATTATGCAATCCCAATATTCTACGTATATGAACATATATATATATATATATATATATATATAATTGTAGAGCCAGAAGAAAAAATTATCGAAGAGGATATTCTTTGCTCAATTATTTTTTGTTTTATAGATGTCTGAATGAGTAAATAAACACGACAAACTATAGGAAGATTGACTTTTTCATCACTGTGCTGTAGTTCACCTTTCCCACAGTGCATTTCCCGTGGTTGTCGATGAACTTCACTTGTAAAATCTTATCCAATTAGTCTGTTAGATGATGAACAATGGCAAAAGAAACTAACATAATGACTAAATACAGATTGGAGGCCTACATAGGACTTGAGCTACCAAAAACTCCCATCTTTCTATTGCAAATATTTCCTTTCATTCGGTTTGTTTTAATCAATTAAGATATGACCTCTAATGGCTTTATCTATTCTTGTGTATATTCAAAATGTTAACGAGCCTATATGATTCTCAGATTCCTACTAAACTTGAAGAGAGGCCTGAGTGTGGGTGGCAACGTGTTTCAATACATAAGATAACTGTCCTTTGGTTATGATCTAGGATCTCAAAATGTATTTCTGAACATCTTACAATCGGCCTTCACATCTAAATATCGTGGATTTCTTGAAGGAAGGAGACAAAGCAGATTTATCACATAAAGGAATAATTCCTGCTTCAGCTTAGAGACCATTATTTCACAGGATATACTGTCAATTTTAGGATTTTACTTGAAGATATTGTACGACGGGGAGGGAAATATTATGCAATAAACTCATGGGAAAATACTGTACATTTTATAAATACTGTCCAGAATAAAGATATATTATTATCCACCTTTATAAATAAAAGTAATAATAATTTGCTCTATTCCAGAAACATTACTAATGGTACAGTGTGGAATTTTCAGCACATATTTACAATATTGCATCTAATTTTATCGCATATTTAAAAGGAGTATTTCTAAAAAGAAATATAAAAAACATTTAATTGGTGGATAGTGACTAGCAGTGGAATCCAGGAGGCGCATTTCATCCTATTTGGGACTCGTCAGCTGGATGTGCCTGCATTTCTCAGTGAGTGATGATGTTCCCACCAATGAGGCTCGAACCCAGTACCCATAGTTTCAAACGCCAAAGCCCTATCCAATAGACCACTTGGGCCACGAGAGCCACTTCTCTTGCAACGGGTCATATTAATTTTATTGAATTGGAGATTTTCCTGTCGACATGTCAACCTGAGACCGAGCACTTCGGTCCAGTCAATCGACGGGAAAATCTCAAATTCAATAAAATATAAAAAAAACAACAAAAAAAGAAAAGAAACACAATAATAACAAAAAATGCAAAAAAAAATACCAAGTAGTAGAAAGGAAAATAAACTACAATAATAAATAATATCTCAGTATTGGGTAGTGGAAGCTATGATATGTGTATGCGGGGTGAACAGTAAAAGCTATGATCATACAAGAAGTTATGAAATGTTATTAAGAATGTTTATACCCAAGATGATCAGTTAGTTTGATTGAACTACACTAAACAATCATAAAATAAATATTTCAGGTTATTTTTTTTATTGTCAGCTCTAATGCGGTGTTTTTAGTGGTAGTATGAGTAATCCTGCACAATACAAAATTTTAAGATGGTGATAACAGCGTTCACAACCAAGATTGTCAGTTAATATTGACGAAACAAAAAAACAATCACAAAACTAATATAACATGAAGGTTAATGACAGGACAATGTTGTAACACCCATAATGCTAATATAGTCGGGACCAGTAGATACACAAAAGAAGGAATAGAGTAAAGTACAAAAAAAGTAAGCCCATGTTAATAATTTTAGGTAGCTAAGTAAGTTTAAGAAGGTTGTTCACTACAGAATACAAATAAGAGAAAAAAATAAAAGAGCCAATATTATGTTATTAACAACAAAGCAAGTCATAGGTTTCGCGCTTAACATTGTCTCTGTCACGGTTCAAATATGGTATCGTTGAGTTCCTATACTTGGTTGTACGAGCATATATTATTTTGTACTGATTTCTGGTTCTACCTGATGCGATACAAGGAGAGAGTTGGGGATAGAGGGGGTGTTGGGGTCAGAGAGTATGGTTTTAGACCATTTTTCGCATGTATTCACATGCCTTTCTACTAATGTAGTGACGAGCTGACTGAGTTTTACACCGCTAGTCCTACTAACTACCTTCAACATCCTTATCAGGATGGTATAGTCCTTTTTCAGTAACCCAGGAAAGACTAATGGGGAGCAGTGAAGTAGAATAGGTGAGATACAAGAGTTGACAAATTGTGAAAGCAGAGGTTGGGGGATTCCAGATAGTCTGAGTTCCTTAATGTAGTAGGTTAGACGGAACACTTTCTTAGAAATCGTTAGGATATGAGATGACCATGTAAGGTCGGAAGATAGAACTAGTCCGAGATATTTTGCATTAGACTCAGTTTCAATTTTAGTTCCCTCAGTGCTACAGGCTTCATGAGTGCTTACTAGTGTTTGTAGATCTCGTTTATGCCTAAAGAAGAAGTCAATAGTCTGGCATTTTGAAGGATTCAGCATGAGGCCATTTAGTTTAAACCACTGACTGATGTCAGACAGGAAGCTATTTAATTTGAAACAGTCCGACTGAGACTTAACGGGAAGAGAAACAGTCAGGTCATCTGCATATTTGACGAAGTTGATTTCGTCTGAAAGAGGTAAGTCATGTAAGAAGAAGGAAAAGAGAAACGGAGAGAGAACAGCACTCTGGGGAGTTCCAGCTTCAGTAAGCAAAGGAGAGGAAGCTACACCAGTATATACCGTGTACTGCATCCTATTAGAGAAGTAAGAGTGCAGCCAGTTGATGGCCCAAGACTCAGTTTGTGTAAGGCTAAGCTTGTTTAACAAAAGGCCTCTAGGTACAGAGTCGAAAGCAGGATGTGTAATCAAGAAACTACCGCAGAATGGATTCTTGTGTCAACAGATCAACTCAACCGATGTTATTCGCCAAAAACCCAGTGTCATTCACCACAACATTGGTGGTAGTTAGATTGTTCATTTTCACTCTATACGTACGTCTCTTACTGATAACAAATGCATAGTTGATGAGTGAGAATTCATCCACGCCTTTTGTTTGATTGACTTCATAGAATTCAGCCAAAATGACCCAGATATACAGACATAGATATATGGTTAAACAAAAACGTGTCTAGAAAGTACCTGACCCTATTTGACTACTGAAATAATTCATGTTTAGTGAGAATAAATCATTTAATTATGCATGTGTGATGCTTTGTGTGATGTGTGAGAAATTCTTAACCAATTTATTATATATATATATATATATATATATGTGTATGTATATATACAAAACCCCAGAATAGAACTGTGAAACAGCACCACAACAACACACCTACGCACAAATACCCATGCTGGGGAAGAAAGTTTATCAAAAGTCATAAGGAGAAGAGTTTCGCATGATCAAAGTTAGTCGGCACATTAAGGTTAGTGAACAGAAATAAATTTAGGATTAGCTGTCTGATTCTGGTGGTAAGCTATTGGATCAAGTTAAGATATTATAAACAGAGGTATAAGCCTTAGCTTCTTGTAATATCACAATAGCATAAGCTGATCACTTATCATGATAACAGTAATGTATGAACAGTTCTGTCTAGTTTATTCACATGGTAGCATGCATGACTTTTCTAATTCACATTAAACTTATATGGTGTTTAGCAAATAAGTCTTACAGCTGAATTAATCTACAAACAGATGGGTGGCCTGAGATTTGTTTCCAAAGTTTCTGAATGCAAATTGTTACTAGATGGTTGAAAGCAATCGGTAGGAAGCCCTAGAAGTATATTTGGTGCTTGCTGACACTGATCAGCAAGGCATATCTGCAGTCTTGGATGAACTCATGTGTCCTTTGAGTCATAAAGCAAGAAAAAAACTCTCTTTATCGACAAAATCATCTTCACAGTCTGGCTGTACAGTTGTATTTACACTTACCAAAAATGTATTTTCTATTATTGTTTCCTTTAATTCTTAGGGGAACATAGGGCTTCAGCCAAACGTCTCAATTGCGTTCGGTTTTCTGCCAACGTTTTTACCCCTCTCCAAGTCTGCCTACACGCTTTCATCTCCTCTTCGCATGACCTCCTCCTCCAAGTCACCCTTGCACTGACAACCAACTCGCTGCTTCCCTTTCAGGTACCAATCGAGAGATTGTCTAGTGATGTCACTTGACGGTTTCCTCAGGGTATGGCCAATCCATCTCCATTTCTTCCTGCTTATTTGTTGCATAATTGCTTCGTGATGGGTTAGTTTGCTCCCGTAGATCCCTGTTGCTGATCTTTTCTGGCCATCTGATCTCGGGTATTGAGCGAAGACTACTGTTAGTGAAGGTCTGTAGTTTGTTTGAGGTGCTCTTTATGACCCACTGGCCAAGTCTCTGATCCGCATAGTGAGTAGCACTGACTGACTTCACATTGGAGTTGAAAATCCGAATCTTATTTTCATTTTCATGCTAAGTATTGTTGATCTCCGTCACGCAGGCTTGAGAGTAACGAAAGCTTGTCTTGCTTTATCGATCCTCGCTTTGATATCCTCATCAGTTCCGCCCGCCTTTAGTCGAAACGATGCCTCCAGGATAGGCAAATGAGGTTATTTCTTTCAGATTCCTCCCATTTATGAGAGTTTTTGTCCGTTGTTGTCGTTGCTGTTGGTGTTGGCCAGGAATCTTCATCACCTCTGTTTTATCTATGTTCACCTGAAGTCCTATCTTCCCTAGATTCTTCTTCTGCCAACTTGTTGC